TAGAACACAGTAAATTCATTTTCCTCCCAAGGAATCGTATATTCTGCAGGAATAGAACCATTATTTTTTTGGTTTTCATTTAGTCTGAAGAGACCGTAAAATTCGATTTCTACCTAGAATCTGTTACCAATTTCCTTCTATCATTGCCAATCACTGAAATTAATTGAATTAAAAAAATAGAATAAATAAAACATGAAGATTAAAAAATACTTGATAACAAACGTTAAACTCATAAAAGTGAAATCCAAATAAAAAAGTGAAAAGAATGGAAAATGCAGTTTAAAAATCTCTATTAAACAATCAGAACCTGCGGGAATCCCAGTCTTAAAAATCAACACATTAAAATAAACTGAAAAATTGAACTTAATGGTCGTTTTCTCACCTGACAGATAATACCTGTTGGATTGCTGAATGGCAACAAAATTAGTTGGAGGCGAAAAGGAATTGGAACGATTGATCCTCATCCTCACGAAAGTATCATTGTCCTACGTCTGTTGATATAATAACTGAGCACAATGAAATTTAATCCATGTCTATGTGCTGGATGTATACTCTATATGTACAGTGTCGTACAAAAGGTGTGAGCTACGGAACTAAGCTGATTAGCTGAAACCACCCTTCTGGTCTTTTACCCCCTCCGGGCACTTGTTCTCCCTCGTGCTTCACCATAGCAAAACCACCGTACATTCAACCTTCTTCATAGTATTAACCTGCTGTAGACAAAATTACGTCATTTTGTGCTTCACAAAACTTTATTGAATTAATTCTCAATTTTATATAATTCTCGAGGAAAATAAAATGGAATTCATTATTATTCGTTTCGGGAAAAAACAATATTGTATTTACCACTCGGATTGAAAATTAAAAGCATTTGTACACAAAGGAAAAATCAATGAAATAAAAATGAAATTGTTCTACCAGAAAAAATCAGAAATATGTATAAATATAAAATGAAATATACTTTTATGATCGGACCATTTATAAAAAAAAGATTGACGAATTTTTTTCTGGATTCTAAAATCTGAGAGTTATGATTTGTATTTGGATAAAAAATGGAAGGGAAAAGCCATCGCTTCAGCTTTCACATATTTCTTTTTAACATTTTCTCTTAAAAATGTCTGAATAATAAAAAGAAATTCTACGCGTGTATTTTACTCTATTTACTCGTATGGATTTTGCAAAGTCGATACGGTGGTGATGAGAAATAGAATGAGTCGATTTTATATTTGTAATATGATAAATTTCAGGGAAAAGGTCAAAGGGTAATAAATCGACTTGTTCCTCTGTCGAGTTTCAGAGAAATAACTCGCAATCTAAAAGAGATACCGAACTTTTCGTTAAAAGCTTCTTTATAGAATGGAATAAGAGTTACAAAAAGGATTTTTTCAGAAATTTACGTATTTCTCATAAATGCAGAGATATTCTTGAAAACTTTGCTATCACCTAAATCGACTTGTCACCTTTTATCTCTTTGTTACTGATTTATACTCTACCTATACAAAGAAGCGTTCACAGCATAAAAAGGGAGAGAACAAGCAATCATAAGTCATGTCCATTGTGACATTTTGAGGTGAGCAATCATGATTCACAGGAATCAACCCTTCCGGATTCCGTCAATTCAAATTTGGAATAATCCAATTAAAATTTCATTCATTCCGTGCTCTTTGAAGAATTAGTTGAATATTTTCTAATCAATCTTGCTACATCATGTGATGTTCATAGAATGACACGATTTTTAATTTATTTACTTGAAATTAACTACAATGACAAATATTTAATGATAATTCCATCTTGATATGCCAATTTTTTTATCATTATTATTCCTATGGATATTGTATTTTTTAGTGATAAATAAATGACATAGTTTTGAATTGATGATGGATGGTGATGAGGAATTAATTTATAGAGCACAGTTATTTGTAATTATTGCTAATTGCCCCTGGGAACATATCATACTCCTATTATCTCTTGTAATTTCCATTTATCGAACATGGGGTATGTGTGCGATTCAATTATAGTTTCCCTGTTCTCGAACCGGTAATATATCCATTACTTATAAACAGCTTGTTATTGCTATGAAATAATGTGCAACTTTCATGAAGTCCACTGACAAAAAAACGTATGTAGCTTCACTAATGAATGAACAACTGAACAAATCTTGATTTCACTTGCGAAGATGTCTCTAGTCGTAGAAATGTAAAGCCGCGAATTTATAGGTCCCTGATGGTTAGATCTTGGGGGTTGCATCCCGGCACTTTTTGGTATTTCCTATAGTCTCGTTTGACTTTGTTTTTTGTATTTTATTTTTCTATATAAACCACCCCCAGGAGTGTGCCCTTGAGTTGTATAAGGCAGACGCTTGATGTTATTTCTCTGCCAAGAAAACTCAACACGATGCAATGCATACCGATTTTATTTTCTGTCAGTAAACCTGAATAATGTAAAAACTATGTATCCATAAAAAACTGGAATTCTAATCTGTGAGAATTGATAGAATGTGCACCTTCTGGAAGGGGATCGGCTTATTCATGCGGTGACGATCACATTTCAAATTTTTTAATTGAATATATAATGGAGTAATGTTTAGTTTCTTTGATGCAATCATTGACCTAGCCCACGGCTGAGCGTATTTCCAGTTTTTCCTCGAGTTTTATATGAAGTCTCCGTATCAATAAATCTTTCTGCTGCTGTGTAAATATTAAATATTAAGTAATTTCTCAGCTTTCTGTGGAATTCGGATATGTTAACGATCGCAATATAATCTATATACTCTAACGTATGTTTTATATACAACTTATATAGAAAGATATGTATTTCTCAAATGCAGGAATGTTGGAGTGAAACGAGTACCCATTAAAAATTATTCCATTCTTAATTTTTAATAATTTTGAAAGAATTAAAAAATATTCAATGATTATAATATACTGATAATTAATGAAATGAGAAATGTTAACTCTAAATAATTTATTACTTAATTTATTATTTATTACATTCATCCATTCTGTTGCCAAGTGGAAAACTAGGATTAGTGCATTTTTTACTACGTAAAATGAATAATACACAGAGATGAACAGAGATGTGCATTCATTACTTTTGAATATGAAGATGCCCATATCACTCTGTAGTCCCCAATATTTTCTGAAGGTATGCTGAAGGTGAAGGTGTCAGGGCCTTCAGTGTTTTTTAAAGTTAGATGATTTTTGGTATACGTCGGTGCATTGAGGCATGTATCTGAACACGACACATGGACGCCCCTACGTATACATATGTTAACTACCAACTAATATAGATACGTCCTGCATTTCGACGTGTTATGCAAATTCCAACGTATATCCCTCTCAGAGTCCCTACCACATTCACCGTACGATGGGATTTGGAATATTACATACATAACATCCATACATTTGTGAGAGAGGATGCCTATAGCTGAAGATACGCATGATACATGAACACACATTTATCCTGTGTACAAGTTTACGTACGTTATGTGTAGTCGGTGATGGGTGAAACGCATAATACAGTCTGGCAACTTGAGGATGAGGCACGTAATGTAAATAACAGGTGACACGAGGAGCCAGACATTTGCTATACGCATGCGGATCCTTCGCTTCAGTAAATCGAGACTCGACGACTTCGATATTCTGGGCATCTTCTTCTATTTTCTCTTTGGTTTTTTTATGGAGACAGCGACTGCTGCATTCGAGCTTTCTTCCGAGGACTCACTTCGATTTTACAGTTAAATGTACTCATTCGTGTATTCACGTATTTATTATAACCTGCCAGAGGCTCTCACTAAAGAAGAATATAGTTCTCTATATTTTTTAGTTGTTACTTGGTTTTACACTGTGGGAAAATTGCACTGGAAGTTTCATGTTGATCGTCTTCAATTCACCGATAGAATTTGTTATTAAAAATGTTGAAAATTCAGGTGATGATTTCTCAGAATTCTCTATATATCGAAATTGAATTAGATTTCATGATCACGATGAGTTTGAAAATTGAAGCTGGCATTGAACAATCAATGATTGTTTGACAGGAAAAATATATGTTTTTATGACTTTCAAGATGAAAATGAAAAGTTTAGTGATCTTTTTTTATTTTTCATTGAATTCATACTCGTATGATTGCGAACTCAGTCACTGACGTACCAAGAAATTTCCAACAATACAGAATATATTCCCATTATTCATCTTTCTTACGCTCTTTATGGTAATTTTCCCCCATTTAGCGCCAGAAAAATCTCTGGAAAATATAATTTTCATCGAAAATTTCGATGCAATTTAAAAATTTAATCACATTTTTAGTTTTCATGGTAGTAATAATCATGTCCGCAATGAAACGCAGAATCAGGTAGAGGAAAAATCATGGGTAACGGAAAAGGATAAAAGTCGAATTTCCGCGGTTTGATGGCTTTACCCAGTTTTATTTTTCTTTTATGAATTTTGTGCAGAAATCGATATATTTATAAATTCCACATATTTATCCTTGATTTACCGAAAAGGTCCAATGGGAATTTACGGCTTCCGCACCTCTTGTCATACTGTTCCCCGCATTTCTGTATTTATTCGCGTAAAATCCATTTTCTTATTTAAAAAACGCACATAACATTCCAGCACGAAATTCAGTTTTCGAAATTTTAGGTTCGAAAAAAAAATGTGACGATACCGTAAATTTTCTGGAGCAAATGATAAACTTTACTGAAATATTTTGTCAGCCTACGATTCCATGACTAATCACGCACTTTTTCAGTATTTTTCACTCCATGGTGAATCTAAATTCCACATGCCATACGGCACGTAATCATTTTGGAGTTTAATTTAATGTATTGTACACTTTAAGAAAATACCGCGTACTGTTTACTTTATAATCAATAGAGCCTGGTTATTTTAACATCGAACAATAGACCAAACAGCGCTGATAATGGATCGCGTCACGAATCACCTTGAACACCACTATAAAAAACCAAAGTTATGGCTAAAAGAGTTTTATAGTAATTCACAATGTGGAAACCACCATTTCTATTAGTGTTTCTCAATTTGTTTGTTCCCGATCTAATTATAGCTGGAGATCTATCTGATAATAAACGTTTAACGGATATTGTGGGCACGACTAAAGGTCCAGTTCGAGGAGAAATATTGACAACTGTCCCATCAAACGTCTACTATGCTTCCTTCAGTGGAATACCATATGGTAAACCTCCTGTCAAAGATCTCCGATTTAAGGTGATTACCAGTTAAAATTGGACCTGAATGATTTTTTAATGACGAATCCTAATTCATTCAGCCTCCAGTGGCAGTCGACAATTGGGAAGAAACATTTGAAGCTGTAGAACAAACGAAACCTTGTCCACAGTTCAAAGGCCGGTTTTTTGGAGATGAAGACTGTTTATACCTCAATATTTATACTCCTAAAGTGAGAATTAATTAACATATTTGATTAAACATAGCTTTTGCACTATTGGAAAATTAGACTGACAATTTTAAGTGTTTCATAACCGTAAAGTGACATGAAGTTTCGTAAAATTCTTTGATGATTCAATTAATTTCGTGAGTATTCAAGTAATTCTCTGTTTTTCGCCAATTCATTTATACTTGATATTAAATTTTAACAGTAAGTCTCAAAACTGTAGCTTTCATCGACAAATCAATTATTATGTAACATGAAAAATCCAATAAAAAACATGAGAATTGCATACAAACTCATATAATCTAACATAAATTCTAATAGTGTACGTTAAAATCATAGTATAGAAAAATTTCGATGTTTGTTACCTTAAACGGTGCGAAGATGTTTTTTTCTGAAAGAATTCGCGGAAAAAAGAACAGTTGTAGATCAGTTATATTTAAGATTGGATCGTTTCGATCGCGATTTCATTCTATTCTCAGACAACGTTTAATTCGATTGACGGTGACTTACGAGCTGTGGTGGTATGGATTCATGGTGGAGCCTACATGCTAGGATCTGCCAGTCGTTCAGAATTTGGTCCAGATTTCTTCATCGAAGAGAATGTCGTGGTCGTATACTTAAATTATCGTCTAGGTGCCCTTGGTAAGTTCTTATTCCAAAAAAATTCACAAGTTTCTGTAATTCTTCTTTTTAGGGTTTTTATCATTAAATCACCCGAACGCCACTGGAAATGCCGCCCTCAAAGATCAAGTATTAGCTTTAAAGTGGGTCCAGCAGAATATCCGGAAATTCGGTGGTGATCCAACTCGAATCACAATATTCGGACATAGCTCTGCGGCTGTTCTGGTAGAACTTCATGCCATTTCCGACATGTCCAGAGGTACTTAAACTTCTGTCTAGCCAAATGTTTGTCACCATTTACGATCAAACGAAATTCTCGAAGCTGTAATCTCTTGCTTTTATTTGTTTTCGCAAAAGTAGAACATTTTTCGGTCTTAACAGCCCCGTGGAAAAATATTTCGGCGCTTAAAAAAATCAAGATGAGACCGATAAATTTCGTTGGAATCAATTCCATTTTCAAAAAAGCCTATAACGATTTTTCGTCCCAATTTCCTCGAAATAGCCTATCTGAAAAATTCCACAGAAATTAGACAAGATTTAGTTTTTCAATTTGACTAATTAAATAATTGAAAATGACATTTAAATCCACGTGAATGTATTTAGAAATTATTTTTCATTTCACAGTATAATATAATTTAATATATATATATTTTAATAAAAAAAATCATTGCATAATGTCTTCAACATTTTGTTGATGTTGAAGGATGTTGAGTCGCTTTTTTTATTATAAAAAATATGTTCATGTATAGGATTATACAACAGATCGATTTCTATGAGCGGTTCCTCGTTGAACCCTTGGGGATTGTCTTCAACATCTGTCGCGGTGCAACAGGCACAACTTCTTGGCTCCCAATTATCACTGAGTACTGATAGTACAGACGAATTATTGGAAGGACTATACCACGCCTCAGCTCAAGATATCGTTATGGCAACCCTAAAGTTAATGAGACTCCAAACCAGCTTTAATCTCCCGTTCACTCCAACTGTGGAAGATGAAGAAGTAACGAAGGATGGCTTCTTAACCGAATGCACATTTCACAAATATCAAAAAGGAGAATTCAATGATTTTCCGTATTTGATGGGTTTCACGAATGCGGAAGTGGCTGGTTATTTCCCGGGGAGAAATGGAAAATTTCCCGGAGTTGCGGCATTTGACAAGATAATCGAACGAGTGAAAACTATTGTTAATGAGTCGGAGGTTATTTTGCCGGATGTCCTCAAACGCTATCAGAATGGAAGAAATGAAAACCTGGATGATTGGGAGAATATCATTAATGAAGCGGTGAAAGTGAGAATATTTTCCAAATATTTTATAAGAAATAATAAGAAATTGGAAATGGTTAAAATGATAAAAAATTTAATTTATCCTGGAGATTTCTTTCAGGTAACTTCAGATGTTTGGTTCACCCTGGGAATCGATCAATCGCTAAAGTACAGAGCGAAAGGAACAGCTCCGGTTTATTACTATCGAAATTCATTCGCAGAACGAAACATTCCACATTTTTTGGATGGCGTAGAATTAGACGGTTGAAATCTATTCTGTTGGTTTCGATATCATTATGAAGTTCAATGTAATTATTTGGTATGATTGCAGGCGTAGGGCATACAGATGATCTTGCTCAAATCTTCTGGACTCCAACTTCGACTCAAGAAACGATTGATCCGATGAGTCCTCTCAGTCTCCAACGGAAGAAAATGGTTAGAATGTGGACAAATTTCGTTAAGTTCGGGTAAGAACTTCTCTGACAACCAGAATTATCTCACTGCAATCAATGATCACTTGAACATTTCGTGAGATTTTCCAATAACTTGACAAATTTTCCGGTTTATCTCTGTAGAAATCCTACACCAAGCGGAACTGCCGATCCCCTTTTAAACATCACGTGGATTCCTGCTAGTCTCGATGGAAATTATTTAGAAATTAATGCCAATTTAACAATGGGATATAGCCCGATCACTTCTCTAGTCAAAACATTGGAGACGGCCGCAATAAAGATGGAAGAAAAATTGAACGGTTGTTCAAGAGACTAACGCTGACGACTGAATCATTCAATGATAATTATTTTGTTGAATAATTTGCGAGAGTAACGAATGCAACAGTTGATCAAGCCTTTTTGATGAATCTTTCGTGAAAAATCGTTGAAAAAAATAGAAATAATTACCGGTAATCTTATTCCTCCCGTTAATCCCTGAGGAATATATCTATGAAGACTGTGTTAATATTTCAGATCGATCGGCTCAACCACTTCTGAGAAATCGCGCTCACCGATTTCGAAAATACCATTGTCGGAAAAACTTGTTGAAAGTTTCAGAAATAATTTACACAGTCTCATTTTTTAATCAACTGATTAGGTGTTGTCTATTCCAAGGCCATAAGATGGACCCTGTGCAGCATCAGCAGCTTCTAGTAGATCGAATTAATGTTATTAGTGATAAAAAAACATTATTTATGAATTAAAAACATTTCTAATACTTTGACATCTTCATACTGGTACTTTCTCTGACACTCTGAGTCATCCTTTCAAACATGGATATATCTCCGAAAATATTTAGGAGATCGTTTTGAAATTTGGAGAGAATATACTCAAATAGATGTACGTTTCGAAACTGCAAAAGCATCGGTTTTTATTAATTGTAATTGCGTAGAATCTTTGAAAGCATGCAGAGGCTGACATTTCATCTGGATACGGCGAAGAACACCATCATTATGATATCCTCACCATTACCTTTATGATCACCAACTTCTTTTCTTTACTGAAGCCTCTCTGAAATAAAAATGATTCTTTAAGAGGGGAGGAGACTCCTCCAGGTAAGCATCGCTGAAACTTTTAAAGTGAAAACATCCAATTAGGATGCAAAGAATGAAGTTAGAAATTCCTCGTATGAACAAGGTTCGACTTTTGTTTTTCTCCCTTATACCTTCTACAGAGAAAGGAGAAAGTCTGGTAAATTTTTTTGACTCTTCTGCACTTTTTCCCTCTTCATTTTTTTCCTCACCTTAGTTTGTTCGCGTGAGCTGACAGCGGCAAACTTTTCATTCGATCTGAAAGAGAGATGCGACCGGATGTACCTTGGTGGAAAAAGGACGAAGTGAATCAGTACTATCGGAGAGCTGGATATTCGACGTTAGTACGTAAGCAGAGCTGATAGTTTAGAGTTTGCTATCGTCTTACGGCTCCTTCCAACCTTTATGGTACCTTCTCCAACTACATCGGTGCACTGTTGTACTATACGTGATGTTGTAAAATGGAATCCTCGTGAGAACTAATTTGAAAGTAAAAGTTCTGATCGTATTTTTCTTTTGACGTTCTGTTTAAGAGTCATCCAATAAAGAAAGACCAGCAAACAAATGTTTTTCGTCAGTTGAAGAATCCTATCATCCTCGTCGCCATTCGATGTCAACGGGTAAAGAAATGGTATGTTCTATCGATTCTAATCAATTCCAATCAATTTCATTCCTCGATATCGAATGGGACAGGAAATATGGATTTCTTACGTGGACTTTAATTTTTAGACACTTCGCGTGTTCGATCCAAATGGCTTTATTCGATGAAATTTATCGCAGTTTCACATCGTTTAGTCAATCGAGGGAGGAAATTAATGATCTATCACCCATTGGATGTTTAATCCCATGTCATTATTTCCGTAGTTCTGACTCACTTGACAAAGGTATGAATTCGCGTACTCGTTATTGCGAACTCATTGCAAAGAGTTCGTGGGGTTTGGAATACCATATCCCATGTTGGATTGAATATAATCAAATTTATATGAATTATATATTATATAATTTATATACCCTCATGAGACAATGGACACACAGAAAGATGTTAGATTTCGATGATAATCTCGTACAGATCACTCAATCATACAAGTCTCATCTCATCCGACCCCCTAATATCACTGATTCAACTCGAGTGCTATGCCCACCGCTACCCCTCTGTAGATATTCAAATGATTAAATTTAATATCACTCACTCATCCTGTCAACAGTGTATTTATTTTTCCGCCTCCATTGTCCCATTCTCACTCTCCATTTTGGCTTACCATGTTTTTTCCAAGGGGCTTCTCATTGCTAATATAAATGAAATTATAATTTCCATTATATTTATTTACGGTAGGGTTGAACTATACATTTACTTTGTACACTAATACTTGAATTTTTCCCTAACGATCGCAATGTTAGTGCTGCACTATAATTTCTCTCTTAAATTTATTTCTGTGTAATAGCTTTCAAATAAAACGCCAGCGAGAAAAATATTATGAGAATTTCCGTTTCGAAATGAGGATTAGACCCTCCGAAGGGGTTAAATTTTCCATTGTCTCGAAAACACGTAGAAAAACGTTCTGAATGGACTGACAATAATGAAATTTCACCTGGACCAGTGGAAAATGAATGAGTATTAGCAGACGTACCCCGAGCAGTTGAATTGGATTCATATCGCACTGCGATACTAATAACTTACATTGAATAAATTGACGGGCAATGACGAGTGTAAATACGATTGTCCATCATATATCGAGGGATTCATGATGCAATGATACGACGCCGCAAGGCAACGAGCCACATGACACATCAGCCGCACAACTCGCTCACTCTCTCATCCTCTCGCGATTTCTCATACCGTCGATGTAATTCAATGTTGGAAATAGATACCGACAGCCACGAGTGAACACGATAGATCGACGCATCGATGCGTTATACGTACTAGTCATGAACCACAGGGACTCGGGACAATAATATCCGATACGGTCAAACAGTAGTTACGGTCGTTGCTCGCCGCGGGCTTTCCTAAAGGGGCGCGTCATCCACAGACAATTTGATGTTCAGCTTGGATTATAGAGATATGCGTAGTTTCGCCAACTGCTACACGTCTGTACCATTGTCGCATTGTCATCAATAATAATTTTGCAATCATCCTTTGATGGGATAGGTGTTATGCTCACCCAGTAATCAGGTGAGTCGGGAATTTCTCGTACCAATTTAATGATTTTTAATATTTTGTTACTGATGTTACCATTGATTTCAGCAATGAAAATTATTGACAATTAAAAATTTAATTGATTTGGAATCAAAGGCTAACGATTTGAAATTGAAAAGGGAAGAAAGGAGCTCGAAAATAAAATAGATATTTCGTTCCATTGCCAAGGTTTTGCATATGATTTTGAATAAATTAATTTATTGTGAATTCCCGTTTCGGTCGGTCTTACTTATGCATCGGGAAATTGAAATTGTCTCCGAAAAAAAATTTATTCGCGGTTGTACAATTTTTGGAGATTTTCAGACTGTGATGCCCAATGGAATTCTGATTCTCAGCTATTAAAGATTAATTATTAATATTATTATTAATTAATCAGTCAGTTTTCCCAAACGTTCAATGGAGTTCTAAATTTTTAATCCGTTAAAAAATCAATTAAATTAGATCAACAAATGTGTGCAACAGGTAGAAAACTCAAATTGTCATCAAATTCAATAATCATCAATTAATTATCCAAACAGATCGGTTCACTTATGATGCCAGACATGAGTTCATGCTTGTGTCTCCTCAGAAAATGGAGAATTGGCAGCATATTTTAAAATCCTTCCTCGCGTCTTTTCAGCATTAAAAGTTGCTCGTAATGAGACGCAGAAGAATTCATAATTAGGTGGGCTTAAAAAGCATTCCTGCTTTTCATAAGATACTCAGTTCTCATTTTATCCCTCCTCATTCCTCTCTTTCCCTTTCTCCTTTTTTTAAGAGTCGACTCGAGGTTCTTGCATCACTCTCCTTGTCTATATACACCCATTCCCTCCCTGGGTTTTTGAATGGACTCACTTCAACACTTAGTTGAACCACTGGTAAATTTATCTCGTCTTTTCTCATGCTTCTCCAGATTTTTCTTTCCACGCTGTTGTCCTCATACTTCAACACGTTTAATCTTCAATTATGCTGGAGCACCATCTTGACCACTTTTCACACACAAATATTTAATTTATAATTATTTACTCATCGCTGATATTGCATAAAGACAGTGCAATTTTACAATTATCTTTGGAGATAACGTCTGGATATCATTGATCGCAGCTGTCTGCTTCATAATTAGTTAAATTAATTGAACTTTGCCCGATGGATTATTTTCGCGGCTGACGATTATATCGAAGGTCGAGCGAAATTTTGGGTTGTGACATTTATTCATCATTTAGGTGCTAATATCCAAATAATCTCGGAAATTGCCACCAGCTCGGGAATAAAGTGTCGACGGCAATCGGTAGATACTTTACCTCGTGGATATTATCGTCATTTAATCTCGCTTTCTCATCTGCCGATCAATTCTGCCATTGGCTAATCGATGATCTATCATTTATGAAATGTATGAGCAGTTGATAATGGCAGTCCGTCCCCGAAAGGTAGGTTTAAGATGTAGTTTCCTTAATTGATATTCTTCTGATGAATAATGCATTTTAATCAGAACTACTGATAACTCATTATTTTAATGAAGGTTCTATAAAAGGCAAACATTTGATATTAGAAACGAGTGATAATCTGTGTGAGGGGATAAAACGCGCAGTAGGATTCGAATAATTTTCCAGAGAATAATGCAATGTCTGTGGAATATATTCGCTTCAGCGCCAAAAAGGAAAAATTGTGAAAACAGCAGAAGTACAGAGGAAGTCAAAATAATTGACATTTGTATTTTCATGAATAAATCAACTACTGATTGGATGCCAATTGAACACAGACAACAATTCAATCAGCCTTCTGAATAATGGAAATATGCCGCAATATGCAGCATTTGATTGGTTCCAAAAAGTCGCATTATTATAAAAGTTCTGTATTTTTCATATTTGCAGGTGATTCAATTTTTAATACACATAGACATCGAAATTTAAGCTGACAACGAGATTGTACAGAAATGGAAATATCTAGGATTGAGGTTCATATTGTCCTCGAGTAAATAACAAATGTCCATTTAACGACCTAACGAAATATCTGAATGGAACAACTTCTTCGGAGTTAATAGTTACGTAAATTTTCAACACCTGAAGAGTAAAA